TGGGCCTCACCTAGGTCGACTTAGCCTGACATGCGCACCTGGTTCACTGTTAAACATCAACACCGGGGAGACAAAGGCAGCCGGGTGTGGTGTTGGCCACACCTACCCCCCTCGTGTGCCGTGCCCGCCTTCATAGGTGCTCGCAAACAGAACTTGCCCCAACAGTCTGTTAAGGTTGTACGCATGTCCAGCCACCGCATGCCCAAGCAGTTTCTTTTTGGCCATATAGAGGGGGCTAAACGGGCGCACACGGGCTAGAGAAGAGATGGAGCTGATGCGATACAGGAGGGTGTGGAGCTGAGTGGACTTCCTAATTACCGGTGCCAGCGGTGTCAAGATCGGCCTCTGTGGAGGAGGCTCGTGAAGGATGCTTCTGAGTAGTTGGAGGCAGTCGCCCTTTAGCAACAATGAGCGACGCTCGCAACGAGCGAAGCGCCGTGCAGCTACAATGCAGTTGGCACCGCTACTCTAAAACCAGCAGCCCTTGCCGTTGCACCCGGCTTGGCCGATTTCCGCGGCGTGGGAACATCGCGCGGCCACCGGACCAATGGGGACATTCCCCTCCACATTTAGCAAAGCGCGTTTAGAGTATTTGGCTGCTGCTGGAAATGTCCACGTGATGATGACAAGCCACTTCGTTGAGCTGTCATTTGTGATAGCCAGGTCGCTTCTGAAGAAGAGCTACACAGCTCAGTGGTGGGCCTTGCCTGGTAAAATAAAAATAGTTTACAGTTTAAATAGTGACTCAGCCCGTCCCTCTCGTCTCCCTCCCTGATCGGAAGAAACAAAACACTTGTTCGGCCATTAGATCGTTGCTTTGTTCACCAGGTCGGTTTGGTTGTTAATGCTTGTAGTTTGCAGTTGATGATGATGATGATAAGCCACTACGTTGAGCTATCATTTGTGGCTCGGTTGCTTCTGAAAAAGAGCGACATAGCTCAGTGAGCCTTACCTGATAATAAGTAATATTTAAAAGTACTTTTTTTTAAACACGCTTAATGAAATGTACCGTACGAGTAATGGCAGAACTCCACGACTCCAGGAAGTGGCCCCGAAGCTTGCAATAACGTAAGGGACCGTGGTTATTTACAGCCAACGTCAGTTGAGTGTGGGCAATTAGACCCAAGGCGAAACATAACATGTAAAAAAGATCGTTTAAAAATAAATATGTTTTTATTTTTAAAGATAGAATATAGTATTGTCATCAGTATGACATACGTATACCAAGTTTGCGGTCGATACGAGATTAGGAAGTGGGTTAAAATTGAGTTACAAGATTTGAGGATACGACAACAGACACTGAGTTTATAAAAAGCGTATAAAAGACTGTTTTAAAATATATTTTTTTTATGATAGACTATAGTTTTGTCATAAGTATGACATAAGTATACCAAGTTTGCAGTCGATAGCACATTGGGAAGTGGGTAAAAATTGAGTTACAAGATTTGAGGATACGACAACAGACAGAGTAAGTTAAATTAAAGCGTGTAAAATAAAAAAATAGTTTCAGTTTTTAATCGTTTATATCAGGGGTGGGGAACCCTTTTTTGCCAAGGGCCATTTGGATATTTATAACACCATTTGCGGGCCATACAAAATGATCAACTTCAAAATTAGCCTGTTATATTTGGTCAAACATTTCTTTAACTCACCCCTAATGTGATGGCTGGAACTGCTTCTCTTTGGTGAGGCGTGTGATGATGTTAGCTGGTATTGATGATGTTTCTACTCGCAACTGCTTTTCCAGGTTTGCTCCTAGATTTATTGACTTTCGAGTCCCGCCTGCGGTTGCCTTGGCAGGGCCACACCAAATGATTCCGTGGGCCTTACAGTGAGGGAAAAAAGTATTTGATCCCCTGCTGATTTTGTACGTTTGTTCACTGACAAAGAAATGATCAGTCTATAATTTTAATGGTGGGTGTATTTGAACAGTGAGAGACAGAATAACAACAACAAAATCCAGAAAAACACATGTCAAAAATGTTATAAATTGATTTACATTTTAATGAGGGAAAGAAGTATTTGACCCCCTCTCAATCAGAAAGATTTCTGGCTCCCATGTATCTTTTATATACAGATAACGAGCTGAGATTAGGAGCACACTCTTAAAGGGAGTGCTCCTGATCTCAGCTTGTTACCTGTATAAAAGACACCTGTCCACAGAAGCAATTAATCAATCAATTAGATTCCAAACTCTCCACCATGGCCAAGACCAAAGAGCTCTCCAAGGATGTCAGGGACAAGATTGTAGACCTACACAAGGCTGGAATGGGCTACAAGACCATTGCCAAGCAGCTTGGTGAGGTGACAACAGTTGGTGCGATTATTCGCAAATGGAAGAAACACAAAAGAACTGTCAATCTCCCTCGGCCTGGGGCTCCATGCAAGATCTCACCTCGTGGAGTTGCAATGATCATGAGAACGGTGAGGAATCAGCCCAGAACTACACGGGAGGATCTTGTCAATGTTCTCAAGGCAGCTGGGACCATAGTCACCAAGAAAACAATTGGGAAAACACTACGCCGTGAAGGACTGAAATCCTGCAGCGCCCGCAAGGTCCCCCTGCTCAAGAAAACACATATACATGCCCGTCTGAAGTTTGCCAATGAACATCTGAATGATTCAGAGGACAACTGGGTGAAAGTGTTGTGGTCAGATGAGACCAAAATGGAGCTCTTTGGCATCAACTCGCCGTGTTTGGAGGAGGAGGAATGCTGCCTATGACCCCAAGAACATCATCCCCATCGTCAAACATGGAGGTGGAAACATTATGCTTTGGGGTGTTTTTCTGCTAAGGGGACAGGACAACTTCACCGCATCAAAGGGACGATGGACGGGGTCATGTACCGTCAAATCTTTGGTGAGAACCTCCTTCCCTCAGCCAGGGCATTGAAAATGGGCCGTGGATGGGTATTCCAGCATGACAATGATCCAAAACACACGGCCAAGGCAACAAAGGAGTGGCTCAAGAAGAAGCACATTAAGGTCCTGGAGTGGCCTAGCTAGTCTCCAGACCTTAATCCCATAGAAAATCTGTGGAGGGAGCTGAAGGTTCGAGTTGCCAAACGTCAGCCTCGAAACCTTAATGACTTGGAGAAGATCTGCAAAGAGGAGTGGGACAAAATCCCTCCTGAGATGTGTGCAATCCTGGTGGCCAACTACAAGAAACGTCTGACCTCTGTGATTGCCAACAAGGGTTTTGCCACCAAGTACTAAGTCATGTTTTGCAGAGGGGTCAAATACTTATTTCCCTCATTATAATGCAAGTCAATTTATAACATTTTTAACATGCGTTTTTCTGGATTTTTTTGTTGTTATTCTGTCTCTCACTGTTCAAATAAACCTACCATTAAAATTATAGACTGATCATTTCTTTGTCAGTGGGCAAACGTACAAAATCAGCAGGGGATCAAATACTTTTTCCCCTCACTGTATATCGCCCGCGGGCCGGACGTTCCCCACCCCAGGTTTATATGATGGGTTAGAATAAAACAGCTCCCAGTGAGGGGTTACGAGACCACTGCAGGGCAATGGTGTTAGCACGACTTAATAATGGAAGTGAACCATACTCTTTGGTTCTTTCGGTAAAGTCACGTAGGTATAAAATAAAATAAATCACGACGCTTCGATTGCAACACAAGCGGTCGTCCTCAGGCGTGTGTCCGCCTGAGGACGACGTGATTTATTTTATTTTTCTACCTACGTGACTTTACCGAAAGAACCAAAGAGTATGGATTCCTGCAGTCACGAAAGCTTCAAATCAAGATTGAAGTGAACCATATTTACAAATATCATTTGTAACTTTCATCGTTAGCACCCACCTGGGATGCTCTTCCTTCCGATATTAGGAAGCTACTGGGAGCTACACACTTTTAAATAATCACCCCTAGATTGACAAACTAATTTCTTTAGAACTGCGTGTTGTTGTGTTTAGTTTTCTGGCCTTTCCCCCCACACCTCTGATTAGCGCGGTTGGCTACGCACGGTGCGAAATACGTGCGTGCCGTGAAGAAGGCCCATTGTCTGAAACGTTGCCTATTTAATTAGTTTTCCTTTTAAGGCCGCCTCCACACCTGGTGACGTTGCTGAAGAGAGTCCAGCAACCCTGGCTCGTCGCAGTGATTCTGGTTATGTTCTTGGAAATAGTCGCAAATCGGTAAAATCCCTCATCTGCAAATGATGTCGTGGTGACGGCGTGGTGACGATCAAGATGTTGTGACGATGTCGTGGTAACAATGTCATGGTGATGTCGTGGTGACGATGTTGTGACGATGTGGTGATGATGAAAATGTTGTGACGATGAAGACGTGAGGATGTCGTGGTGAAGTTGTCATGGTGACGATGTTGTGACGATGTCGTGGTGACGATGTTGTGGTGATGATGTCGTGGTGATGATGAAAATGTTGTGACGATGTGGTGACGAAGAAGAGGTGACGATGTCGTGGTGACAATGTCGTGGTGACGATGTTGTGGTGACGATGAAAATGTTGTGACAATGTGGTGACGAAGAAGAGGTTGTAACGATGTCGTGGTGACAGTGTTGTGACGATGTCGTGGTGACGATGTTGTGGTGACGATGTTGTGGTGACGATGAAAATGTTGTGACGATGTCGTGGTGACGAAGAGGTTGTGACGATGTCGTGGTGACAATGTCGTTGTGACGATGTTATGGTGACGATGTTGTGACGATGTCGTGGTGATGATGAAAATGTTGTGACGATGTCGTGGTGACGAAGAAGAGGTGACGATGTCGTTGTGACGATGTTGTGGTGACGATGTTGTGGTGACGATGTTGTGGTGACGATGAAAATGTGACAATGTCGTGGTGATGAAGAAGAGGTTGTGACGATGTCGTGGTGACAATGTCATTGTGACGATGTTGTGGTGACAATGTTGTGACGATGTCGTGGTGATGATGAAAATGTTGTGACGATGAAGATGTGAGGATGTCGTGGTGAAGATGTCATTGTGATGATGTCGTGGTGACCATGTTGTTGCAGGGGAAGGAGGTCCTCAAGTTTCTCAAGTTCCCCGTGAATGCCGCACATGGCAACAAGGTGAATGTGTAAATGAGTGGTCTTGAGTGAGTGGTGGTGAGTGGTGAATATGTGAGTGTGGTGGTGAGTGTGTGGCAGTCGGAAAAGGTCGAGCGGCGTTATATTTGTATTAACTGCGTAACGCTGTGTAGAAGCTACCTGGTCTGTCGCTCCACATGAATCTCCGGGTCTTCTCGGCCAGTCATGCCCTCCATTCTCCATGTTCGCGAAACGTGGACCACCCGAATGGAATATCTTCGCCGTTTAGAAATGCACAGAGACCCATTATACTCACACAGAAACCTATAGACTCCACACACAGACCCATAGACTCACAGTGCAACCTGAGACTGCCTCTCTTCAGCAGCTGGAGATGTGGTGGCGTTGCGACGCCATGCATGCCACACTGCGGTGTGGCGTGCATGGCTCACCCAACCTGTAACCCTGTGGTGCCCCCCGCGTGCCCCCCGTACTCCCCCGCATGTTCTCCGCGTGCCCCCTGTGCGCCCTGCGTGTAGATGCTGGGTGCCCTGCCTGCCGTTCTAGACAGCACCATCATGTACACGGGCAGCATCATGGCGCCGCTCCTGGGGAAGAACTTCGTCCATGCTGGGGTACGGAGCGCGGTGATGCGTGGCCTGCAAGGCATGCCCCATCCTCTTAGCCCCACTCCTCCTGTCCGTGCCCTGTCAGCTCACCCACGTGTTGCCCCTCTGTGCCCTGTGCACTCACCTGCGCGATGCCCCGTCTGTGCCCCGTCTGTGCCCCGTCTGTGCCCCGTCTGTGCCCCGTCTGTGCCCCGTCTGTGCCCCGTCTGTGCCCCGTCTGTGCCCCGTCTGTGCCCCGTCTGTGCCCCGTCTGCCCGTGCCACAGGAGGTGGTGTCGGTGCCCCGAAGCTTTGCCCGGAGCCTGGCCGTGCAGATCGAGTCGGCACGGCCCGGTGAGGAGCACCACACAGCCCCCCTAGAGAGCGCCCCTAGAGATCCCCCCTAGAGAGCCCCCCTAGAGAGCGCCCCTAGAGAGCCCCCCTAGAGAGCGCCCCTAAAGAGCCCCCCTAGAGAGCCCCCCTAGAGAGCGCCCCTAGAGAGCCCCCCTAGAGCGCCCCCCTGGAGAGCCCCCCTAGAGAGCCCCCCTAGAGAGCCCCCCTGGAGAGCCCCCCTCGAGAGCGCCCCTAGAGAGCCCCCCTAGAGAGCCCCCCGAGAGAGCCGCCCTTGAGAGCCCCCCCGGAGAGCCCCCCTGGAGATCCCCCCCAGAGAGCCCTCCCAAAGAACCCCCCCTAGAGAGAGCCCCCCTGGAGGGCCCCTCTAGAGAGCCCCCCTATAGAGCCTCCCTGGAGGGCCCCTCTAGAGAGTCCCCCTGGAGAGCCCCCTTGGAGAGCCCCCCTCCAGCCCTCACGATGTGGTATGTAGAGGACGGCAGAGCTTGATGCTGCTGCCGCTGCTGCCTCCCTGCCCGTCCGTGGTTCCTCCACAATGCACTGCGAGCCAATAAAAAAGGGGGGGGGGGTCACGTGATGGCTCGATCTGTGCGCATTGCTTGCTAGTGAATCGACGCCGCGATTGGCGGTCCGATCAATCTACACCCTTAACCTGGCTGTCGGATCGACTGCGAGCAGAATCGATACAATGGACAGCTACAGTGGGGGGGTGGCAGGTGTGGTCGCTTCAGTTATGAGCGGAATGGAGGCTCGGGTCCCATTTGGAGATGGCTCGCCACTGACATGAGGAGCCGCCACGAGGCGCTATAAGAGCATCGAGCCATCTTGAGGACCCACGAGCCGTGAGCTGTGTGGAGCCGTGATGAGCCGTTTCCGGCGATGCGAGCGAGGTGGGCGCCGTTTCCCGGCAGAGTCTCGGCACGACTCGCGCCTGGACGAGTGGAGTGGCCTGGCCGTGCGACTGCCCAACCTGACACGCCTGCAGAGCGGGACCACCCTGCCCACACCAGCGCCACCGACGCCAACGCAGCACGGTCCCTCGCCGGCGACCAGAGGGCAGCAGCTGACCCCCTCGCCGCCGCCGCCACCACCTCCACCCAGCGAGATCCCCACATTCTGCATCGAGATAAAGGTGCGTGTAGTGTACGTGTGTATGTGTGTACGGGTCAGCGGTAGTGTAGCGGTTAGCGCGCTGCGCTACGAACATGGCTACCTGAGTTCGATTCCCGCTTACGGCCACCACCAACACCAGTGACGATTATCTGAACCGGTCCTGGGCCTCCCCTAGGTCAACTCGGCCTCATATGAGTACTTGGTGCGGTGCGTAAACATCGCCACTAGGGAGACAAAGGCGGTCGGGCGTGGTTCTGGCCACCCAACCCCCTCGTGTGCCGTGCCGTGCCGGCCTTCATAGGTTCTCACTAACAGCACTTGCCCCAACAGTCTGTTCAGGCTATACGGGGGATCTTTGTGTGTGTGTGGAGCAGTAGTGTAGCAGTTGGCGTACTGTGCTATGAACCCAGCAACCCGAGTTCCTATTCCCGCTCACGGGAAAAAATGAGTACCTGGTGCGGTGTGTAAAACATCGCCACTCGGGAGACGAAGGTGACCGGGCGTGGTGCTGGCAACCCCACCCCCTCGTGCGCCATTCCCGCCTTCATAGGTGCTACTCGCTAACAGCACTTGCCCCAACAGTCTGTTAAGGTTACGCGGGGGATCTTTGTCTGTGTGCGTTGGTGCAGCCCAAGTGCGGCTTCCTGCCCGGCGCGACAAGTGTAGTGAATCCTCTGAAGCGCCGTGTGTGCCGCTACTGCATGCAGCAGTACCTCAAGGTGAGAGCGCCTGTCACGGGGGAGAGAGAGAGAGAGACACGCAAACTCCAAATATATACAGCAGGCGTCGGGTTCGAACCCATGACCTCCTGCATACCAGGCTGTGGAGGGGTTCCAAATTTTGGTGATACACTTCCTCTCTGCCACTTAATTTTTCACGTAGATGTTTTATAGTTGCTAATTTTGACAATGCATCGGCCCATACCTGCAGTGATGGGGGGGGGGGGTGTGGGGGCTGAGTTAGGGAGGGTTGGTGGGGGGAGTACCTGCTCTTTCCAGTTGGCTATAATGGTGCGTTTTGCCAAAGTAATGTGTTGGCCTGCCTGGATAGGGTGGGATGTTTACATTGCGATCAACGTGAATATAAAGTAACGAGTGATAGTCTGAAGGAAAAACAAAAACGTGTTAAATATCAGGGACCCTACCAGAAGGCCCCCTTCATTCCTCTGTTCAGAAGAAGAGCCACTCCTTGTTGTTTGGCAGTTGCCTGTCCCGAATAGAGGACTGTCCACCCCTCATAGTGACTGGAGCCAGAACCAGTCCACCGGACCTCCTGAATATCACACAGATCCAGGTTCTACTGTCCAGCTTCCGAGAGAGTGAGCGTTCGAACATTCCACGTGGCCGCTCGCAATGGCTTTTTGCCGTTTCTGGAGGAACCCCGAGGGTACGGGTTGAGTCTCCTGGCCCTGCCAAATGGGGTTTGGTCTGGAGATATATCATAGACGCCTGTCTATAATGTATCCGATGTGGTGGCCTTCCCACCCCTGTGGCATTGCTCACAGCCGCCACAGCATTACCGTCCAGCACCGCCGACGATGTAGGGGGTTGTTTTTGCCGGATGCATGCACACGCGTGCACACATGCGTTGTACTGATGCCGTGGTGCTGGAGGTGCTAGGATCGTTACTTTCAGAACCGGTAGTGCAGTGGTTAGCACACTGCACTGCGAACCCGGCGACCTGAGTTCGATTACAGCTCACGGCCACCACCAGCACCAGTGACGATTATCCGAACCAGTCCTGGTCCTTCCCTAGGTCGACTCAGCCGCAAATGAGTAACTGGTGCGGTGTGTAGTAAACATCGCCATTGAGGAGACAAAGACAGCTGGGCGTGGTGCTGGCCACCCACCCCCTCGTGTGCCGTGCTGGCTTTCATAGGCGCTGCTCGCTAACGGCACTTGCCCCCAACATTCTGTTCCCCTTTTTCCCGTTCCAAGACGTCTGCAAGGTGCAGGATGGGTGGGTGTCCCCGTCCCCCACTGAATCTCGGAACGCGTAAGCTGTTCAGTGTTAATTTTATTCAGAGAGACGTAGCGCCGCTGTTTTTAAAGATGTTGTTACTCACCGCAGAGAACCATGGTGACACGACCGCCGCACTCTACAGCAGCCGGTGCCAAGCTGTGCCACGCCCCCCCCCCCCCCGCGTGACCTTGTGGGAGTTATTTAATTTTAGTTTTTCTTTCCGGGGATTAAGGCTGCACGGGGAATCTTTGTCTTTGCCGCACACCGCCTCTGGCCACTTCCTGCTACCCTCGCTTGCTCCGTGACCACTGCGTGACCTCTGCGTGACCTCTGCATTCTCCCCAGGTCGCCAACGGGAAGTGTCGGCAGGTCAGCGATTACTGCCCTCTCGACCTCTACTCGGGGTGAGCGCACACGCCGCATCATCATTGCTCACGGCCGTCACCGTCACTCACCCACTTACCCACTCACCCACCTGCTCACCCACTCACTCTCCCGCCCACCCACTCACTTATTCACCCACCCACTTACCGCGGGCGAGTTCGAGGGCGACTCTCACAGCCACGTCTAAACAGCTACGCGATACGTGCGGCGTTTCCCTCGAAGCTGCGTCGAGCATCTTCAGGACAGAGTTCGGAAAGCGAGAGTGGACTCTGCGACCGAATTAATTCTGACTTCATCATCGCCGCGATGTCTCTCCTTCAGTTTGTTGCGTCGTCGTACGTTGCACGGTCTCTCCCAGATGACCACAGTCGCCACACTACTACAGGAGAGTTTTTTAATTATCCATTTGTGCATCATCAGGTATCTGGATCTGCTGCTGCCATGGTTTGCACAGCGGATGCGGTTTAGGGTGGACCACGAGCAGCTTTGTAGACGGCCAAAACCCCCGGGGAACTTCTGTGTGCCTTGGGTCGTTCACAAGTGGCACCGAGAATAGCTCTTCGTCTCTCTGCAGCCTTCAGCGGGGCTGGCTGCTAAACGTTTGCTCCCCAACCAACGACGGAAGGGGCCGCTCTGTGGGGGGTGGGATCTCTGACTCTGCCTCGGTGTGCTTTGTAGGGACGGGAGCCGTATGTCCTTTGCCATCAGGAGCCTCATGAAGAATTCTCAGAACAACTTCAGGGTGTTCAAGGTGAGGCGGGACCTAAGCTCACCACACAGCTCACTGGCACCAAACTCACCACACGGCTCGCTGGCACTAAACTCACCACACGGCTCGCTGGCACTAAACTCACCACACTGCTCACTGGCACTAAACTCACCACACGGCTCACTGGCACTAAACTCACCACACGGCTCACTGGCACTAAACTCACCACACGGCTCACTGGCACTAAACTCACCACACGGCTCACTGGCACTAAACTCACCACACGGCTCACTGGCACTAAACTCACCACACGGCTCACTGGCTTGCCAGGACTAGAGCTCACTGCGTGTGTCTATGCTTGTGTCTGTGCGGAGCAGTAGTGTAGCGGGTTGGACTCCCGCTCATGGTCAACACCGGTGACGATTATCTGAACAAGGTCCTAGGCCTCCCCTAGGTCGACTCCGCCTCAAATTAGTACCTGGTGCAGTGCGTAGTAAACATCGCCACTGGGTGGTGCTGGCCACCCTCCCCTCGTGTGCCGCTCTGGCTTTCATAGGTGCTGCTCGCTAACAGCACTTGCCAACAGTTTGCTGAGGCTACACGGTGGCAAGGTAACCTTTGTCTTTGTCTCGTACAGAACGGCACCCTCATTTTCGGCTGCCGAGACGAGCAGGAGTGCCCCTGCGACCTGGGCGCCCTCGCCCACCACCTGCGCCCGCTCTTCCCGCCGCCGCCTGCACCGGGCGCGGCGCACGCGGAGGCCGCCGCGCCGGCCCGCCGGCACCAGCGGCGGCGGCGGCAGCGGCGCGCGGAGACGGAGCGGGCGGTGGGCGGCCTGGTGGGCCTCATTGTCCACGCGCTGCTCAGCCCCCTGGGGGGGCCCGGCGGGGTGGACGTGGTCGGGGGGGGAGGGGCGGGGGGCCCCCCCCCCTCCCCCGACCTGCCAGGCCAGCCTGTACGCACGCAGCAGGGGGCACGCGTCCAGCGGTGTGTGACAAACACGCATGCACGCGCGCGCGTAGAGTGAGAGGGATGTGTGTGTGTGTAGAGGAGTGTGTATGTGAGTATATTGAGAGGGATGTGTGTGTAGAGGAGTCTGTATGTGAGTAGTTTGAGAGGGATGTGTGTGTGTAGAGGAGTGTGTGTGTGTAGATTGAGTGGGATGTGTGTGTGTGTAGAGGAGTGTGTGTGTGGGTAGATTGAGAGGGATGTGTTTGTGTAGAGGAGTATGTGTGTGTGTGTAGATTCAGTGGGATGTGTGTGTGTGTGGGTAGAGGAGTGTGTGTGTGGGTAGATTGAGAGGGATGTGTGTGTGTACAGGAGTATGTGTGTGTGTGTAGATTGAGTGGGATGTGTGTGTGTGTGGGTAGATTGAGAGGGATGTGTGTGTGTGTAGATTGAGAGGGATGTGTGTGTGTAGAGGAGTATGTGTGTGTAGTCTGGACCACTGGACGGGTTTCGCAGGATTGGAAGGATGCCCTGGTGGTCCCCTCTTTAAGAATGGGGACCGCACAGACTGTAACAACTGCAGGGGCATCTCACTCCTCAGTGTGCCGGGAAAGGTCCTGGCAAGGATTATCCAACATCGTCTTGCCAGGCTTGCTGAGGAGATGCTTGCGGAGCCTCAATGTGGTTTCAGGAAAGGGCGGTCCTGCACAGATGCCATATTTCTGTCCGTCTGATACAATGGGAGGCTGAGCGATGCCCGGGTGCAGTCAAGGGATGGCTCCCTATTGGTCAACCATGTTATGTATGCCGATGAGCTGGTAATTGCTGCTCACTCAGAGGAGCAGTTGGAAGTGCTGCTGCTAAACCTGGAGCGTGCCACTAAGAGGTGGGGGGGGCCTTACCCCACCAAAACTAAGCACCTGCCTGGGTATTTTGTACCATCGGACACTCCACCCCCAATTAGTGATGAGGCAGTTGTGGATAGAGTGGAGAGTTTCCCATACCTGGGCAGTATGCTCATGACCGGCTCTGGTTTGACAGCAGACGTTTCACTCCAAATCAGTCGAGCGGCATTATATTTTCATAGGTTGCATAACGCTGTGTGGAAGCTACCTGGTCTGTCACTCCGCACGAAGCTTCAGGTCTTCTCGGCCACAGTCATTCCCTCCCTTCTCTACGCTTGCGAAACGTGGACCCCCCTAATGGAACATCTTCGCCAGTTAGAAATATTTAGATTGGCCTGCCTACGATGCATTCTGGGTTTAACCAGGCTAGATTGTGTGAGGAACTCACAAATCCTTGAAAGATCTGGACAAAGTCCCATCGGTGAGCTCCTCCGGCAGGTAAGGCTCTTGCCTGCATACCCAGCCACCGCATGCCGAAACAGCTTTTGTTCGGACGGATAGAGGGGGCTAAATGGGTGCGGCATGGGCTAGAGAAGAGATGGAGTGATGTGGTACAGGAGGACGTGGAGCTGAGTGGACTTGACGATGACCGGTACCAGCGGTGTCAAGATCGGCCTCTGTGGAGGAGGCTCGTGAAGGACGCTATTGGGCAGTTGGAGGCAGTCGCCCTCCAACAACAACGGAGGGCGGAGGAGCGACGCTCACAACAATGAGCGGAGCGCCGGGTGGCTAAAGCACAGCAGGATGGCACAGTAGGGGGCACAGGTGGTGCATCAGCCAGTCATCTCAGTCAGTCGACCCGTGGCACCTGGGTCTGCCCCGTGACCTCCTGCCATCAGGCGTTCGACACTTCACATGGCCTCAAGGTGCACATAGCCTGGCACAAGCGTGGTGACGTCATCGCCACTTAGTGGCGATTGGCGGTTGTTGTTGTGTATGTGTAGAGGAGGGTGTACGTGTGTCAGTCATCTCAGCCAAACCCATGGCACCTGGGTTTGTCCCGAGACCTCCTGTCAGCGAGCCTTTCACACTTCACGTGGCCTCAAAGTGCACCTGGCCTGGCACAGGCGGCGTGGTGACGTCTTCGTCACTTAGTGACGAATGGCAGGATATTTGTATTGTGTGTATAGAGTGAGAGGGATGTGTGTGTGTCGACGAGTGTGTGTGTAGCTGTGCTTGGGCAGCGGGAGTGCAGCGGTTCGAGCGCAGTGCTATGAACCCAGCGACCCGAGATTGATTCCTGCTGGTGGCCCTAGGTCGACTCAGCCTCAAATTAGTACCTGGTGCGTTTAAAAATCGCCACTGGGGAGACAAAGGCGGCCGGGCGTGGTGTTGACGACCCACCCCTCCTGTGCATTGCTGGCCTTCATAGGTGCTGCTCGATAACAGCACTTGCCCCAAAAAGTATCTTAAGGTTATTCAGGGATCATTGTCTTTGATGATACTGCTGGTGATACTGTGTTGGTTGTGGTGGTAGTGATGATACAGTGATGGTGGTGTTGGTGATGTTACTGCTGGTGATGCTGTGTTGGTGGTGGTGGTGATGATACAGTGATGGTGGTGTCCGTGATGATACTGCTGGTAATGCTGTGTTGGTGGTGGTGATGATACAGCGATGGTGGTGATGATACTGCTGGTAATGCTGTGTTGGTGGTGGTGGTGATACTGCTGGTAATGCTTTGTTGGTGGTGGTGATGATACTGCTGGTAATGCTGTGGTGGTGGTGATGATACAGTGATGGTGGTGTTGGTGATAGTTGTTGTGATGACACAGTCATGGTGTTGGTGGTGATGCTGTGTTGATGATGGTGTTGGTGATGCTACTGCTGGTAATGCTGTGTTGGTGGTAGTGGTGGTGATGATACTGCTGGTAATGCTGTGGTGGTGGTGATGATACAGTGATGGTGGTGTTGGTGATGATACTGCTGGTGATGCTGTGGTGGTGGTGATGATACAGTCTGTCAAGGCTACACGGGTTGGGGGGTAGTCGTTGTTGGGTGTGGAGGTGTCCGTGAGTTGAGGGGCCACGCGCGGCTCTCCCCGCTTGGTTGTTGCAGGCGATGAGGCGGCGCCGCTACCGCAGGAGAGCGTGCTGGCACGCATCCTCGCAGTGCAGCGCCTCGACCTGCTCGACATCGAGGGCATCACCCCCCTGTACCAGCGCGTGCGGGCACACATGCACTCCGCCGGCAGGTGCGTGCGTGCGAGAGTGCGCGCATGTGTAAAATGCTGTGTGGAAGCCGCCTGGTCTGTCATTCCGCACGAAGTTTCGGGCCTTCTCGGCCACACTCATGCCCTCCCCTCTCTATGCTTGTGAAACGTGGACCTCCCTAACGGAACATCTTCGCCAGTTAGAAACATTCAGGCTGGCCGGCCTACGATCCATCCTGGATTCAAGCAGGATGGATTGTGTGAGGATCTCACCAATCCTTGAAAGATCTGGACACAGTCCTATCGGTGACCTCCGGCAGGCGAGGCTGCATTGGCTGGGTCATCTAGCCCGCATGCCCAGCCACCGCATGGTCAGCCTTCTGTTTGACCAGATAGAGGGGGCAGGACGGGTACAGCACGGGCTGGAGAAGAGATGGGCTGATGCGGTACAGGAGGATGTGGAGCTGAGAGGACTTGCCGATGACTGGTACCAGCGGTGTCAAGATTGCCCCCGATGGAGGAGGCTCGTGAAGGATGCTGCTGGGCAGTTGGAGGCAGTCGCACTCTAACAACGGAGGGAAGAGGAGCGACGCTCAACAAGGAGTGGAGCGCCGGGCGTCTAAAACACAGCAAGTCGGCCTAGTAGGGGGCACAGCTGTTGCATCTACCGGTCGTCCCATGACCTGTCAGCCACTTCACGTGGCTTCAAAGTGCTCCTGGCCTGGCACCGTAGTGACGTCACCGCCACTTGGTGGTGAATGACGGGTAGTTGTTGTGAGTACATGGTACTGGAGATACAAAGGTGACGGGGTGTGGTGTTGGCCACCCACTCGCTCGTGCGCCGTGCTGGCCTACTCGCTAGCAGCACTTGCCCAAAGAACCTGTTAAGGCTACACGGGGGATGTTTGTGTGTGTGTAGCTGAGCTGCTCGATTCGGCCCATCCCACCCCTGTCACCACGCTAACGACATGGTGCACACGGCCGGACACTGTAGTACACCGCACATCGCTCAATTGGGAACACACGCTAACACGCGCGCACACTTGCACACACGCGATGATAGTCACTGGTGTTGGTGACCGTGAGCGGGAATCTGGTTTGGCAGAGCGACTGTGCCGGAGGTGCCGCCCCCCTCCTCCCCCCCCCCCCCCGTTACCTCATCTGTGACCTCACCTGCGACCCCTTGATGCCCCCCCCCCCGGCCGCCAGGTTCTGTGCGCAGCTGGATGAGCCGTTCCAAGCGGCATTCCGCGCGGGGCTGGGTGACCGCTCTACACGGGACGATGGCTCCCTAGCGTTCGCCATCACCAAGGTAACACCGGAGCTACCGTAACACCGTCACTACCCATAACACTCTCACCACTCGTAACACCTTCGCCACCTGTATCACCCTCACCACCCGTAACACCTTCGCCACCTGTATCACCCTCACCACCCGTAACACCCTCACCACCCGTAACCCCCTTGCCACCCGTAACACCCTCGCTACCCATAATACCCTCGCCACCCATTACACCCTCGCCACCCCTAACACCGTCGCCACCCGTAACACCCTTGCCACCCGTAACACCCTCGCCACCCGTAACACCCTCGCCACCCGTAACACCCTCGCCACCCCTAACACCCTCGCCACCCGTAGCACCCTCGCCACGCCTAACACCCTCGCCACCCCTAACACCGTCGCCACCCGTTACACCCTCGCCACCCGTAACACCCTCGTCACCCGTAACACCCTCGCCACTCGTAACACCCTCGCCACCCGTAACACCCTCGTCACCCGTAACACCCTCGCCACTCGTAACACCCCCGCCACCCGTAACACCCTCGCCACCCGTAACACCCTCGCCACTCATAACACCCTCGCCACCCGTAACACCCTCGCCACCCGTAACACCCTCGCCACCCGTAACACCCTCGCCACCCGTAACACCCTCGCCACCCGTAACACCCTCGCCACCCCTAACACCCTCGCCACTCGTAACACCCTCGCCACCCGTAACACCCTCGCCACCCGTAACACCCTCGCCACCCGTAACACCCTCGCCACCCCTAACACCCTCGCCACCCGTAACACCCTCGCCACCCGTAACACCCTCGCCACCCGTAACACCCTCGCCACTCGTAACACCCTCGCCACCCGTAACACCCTCGCCACCCGTAACACCCTCGCCACCCGTAACACCCTCGCCACCCGTAACACCCTCGCCACCCCTAACACCCTCGCCACTCGTAACACCCTCGCCACCCGTAACACCCTCGCCACCCGTAACACCCTCGCCACCCGTAAAACCCTCGCCACCCGTAACACCCTCGCCACCCCTAACACCCTCGCCACTCGTAACACCCTCGCCACCCCTAACACCCTCGCCACTCGTAACACCGTCGCTACCCGTAACACCCTCGCCACTCGTAACACCGTCGCCACCCGTAACACCCTCGCCACTCGTAATACCCTCGCCACCCGTAACACCCTCGCCACCCCTAACACCCTCGCCACCCGTAACACCCTCGCCACCCCTAACACCCTCGCCACCCGTAACACCCTCGCCACCCCTAACACCCTCGCCACCCGTAACACCCTCGCCACCCGTAACACCCTCGCCACTCGTAACACCGTCGCTACCCGTAACACCCTCGCCACCCGTAACACCCTCGCCACCCGTAACACCGTCGCTACCCGTAACACCCTCGCCACCCGTAACACCCTCGCCACCCGTAACACCCTCGCCACCCGTAACACCCTCGCCACCCGTAACACCCTCGCCACCCCTAACACCCTCGCCACCCGTAACACCCTCACCACCCGTAACACCCTCGCCACTTGTAACACCCTCGCCACCCGTAACACCCTCGCCATCCCTAACACCCTCGCCACCCGTAACACCCTCGCCACCCGTAACACCCTCGCCACCCCTAACACCCTCGCCACCCGTAACACTTTTGCTACCCATTACACCGTCGCCACCCCTAACACCCTCGCCACCCGTAACACCCTCGCCGCCCGTAACACCGGCGCTACCCGTAAGACCAGCACTTCTGTAACTACGGTGCTACCCATGTGTGTATGTGTGGGCGTGTGTGCGTTGGCTGGGTCACAAACACCGCATGCCCATCCACCACATGCCCAGCCACCGCATGTCCAAGCAGCCAAATGGGCGCGGCATGCGCCGGATGAAGAGATTCGCTGATGCGGTGCCTGAGGTTGTGGAGCGGTGTGGAAAAACATTTGTGCTGGGGAGACAAAGGCAGCAGGGTGTGTCGTTTGTGCGTGTGTTTGTATTGGCATCGTGCTTGCCACCCGCCCCATCGTGTGCCATGCCGGTCTACATAGGCCCTGCTCGTTCACGGCACTGGCACCAACAGTCTGTTATGGCTATCCAGGGGATATTTTTCTTTTGTTTATTGCGTGTGAATGTGTGTGAGTGCTGGGGAGCCATAGTGTCGTGGTTAGTGCGCCGCGTTTCGAAGCCGGCGGCCCGAGTTAGATTCTCGCTCATGGCTGACACCGGTGACGATTATCTGAACCATTTCTGGGCCTACCCAAGGACTACTCAGCCTCAAATGAGTACTTGATGCGGTGTTTAAACATCGCCACTGGGGAGACGAAGGCGGTCAGGCATAGTGCTGTAAAACCACCCCCTCGTGTGCTGTGCCGGCCTTCATAGGTACTGCTCGCTAACAGCACTTGCCCCGACGGTCTGTTCGGGCTATGCGGGGGATCTTTGTCTTTGCACGCTGCTCACGATGTCTCCGTCTCGCGGGTGTCGCAATCTAGCGCGTGTCTTGCTGTGCGTGCGTGTGGGTGCCACGTGCGTGCCACATGTGCCACGTGTGGTGGCGCTTGCCACGTGCAGATCCGCCAATATCTGGTCTCCATGACGGCAAAGGACGTGTCGGTGATGATCGCGGTGGCGCCCAGCGGGGCGTCACACGGGCAAGTACGGGGGTGGGGGTGGTGGTGGTGCTGATGATGATGATAATGGTGATAATGGTGGTGGTGATAATGATGGCGGTGGTGGTGGTGATGATGATGATAATGGTGGTGGTGTTGGTGATGATGATGATGATGATAATGGTGGTGGTGGTGCTGATGATGATGATAATGGTGATAATGGTGGTGGTGGTGATAATGATGGCGGTGGTGGTGGTGGTGGTGATGATGATAATGGTAGTGGTGTTGGTGATGATGATGATAATGGTGGTGGTGATGATGGTGGTGATAATGATGGTGATGGTGGTGGTGGTGATAATGGTGGAGCCAGGATTTCAGGTAAGGGGGGCAACCCCTCCAGCAATGAAAAATGATAGAGGAGTTGTTAGTAAGGAGTTGTTAGTAAGTAAGGAGTTGTTAGTAATTAAGGAGTTGTTAGTAAGTAAGGACTTGTCCCTTGCTTTTTATTCGACGCGTGTGCGGCGATGGCGCAGCCATCGATCGAGGGTCAAATTCGAACAGCGTTGTGTGATTGCCATCGCGCTCGCTGAAGGTGAATGCCTTCAGGGAAGTCGTGGACTGTATACGCAACTGTGCACAATTCTGAGTCACTTATAACTGCTTTGCCGTTACTTATTGCCAATTATGGACCTAGACTATTGTCCTGTCATCTCATAGAGTCCCTGGCACATAATAATGGCAGTGCAGATCGCAAAATGCCGATTTATTACTAATAAACCCCAATGATCCGATCGAAATCCCCACCCCCCCTACTGGCTCCGCCAATGGTGGTAATGATGGTGGTGGTGATGGTGGTTGTGGTGAGCGACAGTGTCGTGGTTAGTGCCCAGCTCTATGAAACCGGCGACCTGAGTTCGATTCCCACTCACGACCAACACCAGTGACGATTATTTGAAACTATTCTGGGCCTCCCCTAGGTCGACTCGGCCTCAAATGAGTACCAGGTGCGGTGTGTAGTAAACATCGCCACTGGAGAGACAGAGGCGGCTGGGCGTGTTGCTGGCCACCCACCCCCTCGTGTGCTGTTCCGGCCTTCATAGGTGCTCGCTGACAGCACTTGCCCCTTCAGTCTCTTACGGCTGTCAGGGATCTTTGTCTTTGATGATACCGTTGGTGATGATACTGCTGTGTGGTGGTGATGATACTGTGATGCTGTGTGGTGATGGTGGTGATGATACTGTGATGATGCTGTGATTCTGTGTGGTGGTGGTGATGATGATACTGTGATGCTGTGTGGTGATGATACTGTGATAATTCTGTGATGCTGTGTGGTGGTGGTGGTGATGATACTGTGATGCTGTGTGGTGGTGGTGATGATACTTGATGCTGTGTGGTGGTGTTGATGATACTGTGATGCTGTGCGGTGATGATACTGTGATGCTGTGTGGTGGTGGTGATACTGTGATGCTGTGTGGTGGTGGTGATACTGTGAAGCTGTGTGGTGGTGGTGGTGGTGATGATACTGTGATGCTGTGTGGTGATGATGATGATACTGTGATTCTGTGTGGTGGTGGTGGTGGTGATACTGTGTGGTGGTGGTGATGATGATACTGTGATGCTGTGTGGTGATGATGATGCTACTGTGATTCTATGTGGTGGTGGTGATGCTGTGTGGTGATGATGATACTGAGATGCTGTGTGGTGGTGGTGATGATGATGATGATACTGTGATGCTGTGTGGTGGTGATGATACTGTGATTCTGTGTGGTGGTGATGATACTGTGATGTTGTGTGGTGGTGGTGATGATGATACTGTGATGCTGTGTGGTGGTGGTGATGATAATACTGTGATGCTGTGTGGTGATGGTGATGATACTGTGATGCTGTGTGGTGATGATGATGATGATACTGTGATGCTGTGTGGTGATGATGATGATGATACTGTGATGCTGTGTGGTGGTATTGATACTGCTTGTGATGCTGTGTGGTGGTGGTGGTGATGATGCTGCTGCTGGTGGTGATACCGCTCGTGATGCTGCTGGTGGTGGTGTTGGTGGTATTGATACATTGATGCCGCTGCTACCCACACTGATGGTGGATGAGAGGTGTGGGTGGGTGCAGAGAGAGTGGCAAGTTGCTGCTGATGATGAATTCAACGCCGCTGCTGCTGATGATGAATTCATTAACAATGCTGCTAATGATGATGCATTATATAAAAACGCTGCTGCTGATGATGAATTCTTTAACAACGCTGCTGATGATGAATTATATAACAAAACTGCCGCTGATGATGCATTTTATAACAAAACTGCAGATTTTTTTGCTGATGATAAATTATATAACATCGCTGCTGATGATGATTTATTAATTAACAATGCTGCTAATGATGATGCATTATATAACAACGCTGCTGCTGATGATGAATTCTTTAACAACGCTGCTGATGATGAATTAAATAACAAAACTGCCGCTGATGATGCATTTTATAACAAAACTGCTGATTTTTTTGCTGATGATAAATTCTATAACATCGCTGCTGATGATGATTAATTCATTAACAATGCTGCTAATGATGATGCATTATATAATAACGCTGCTGATAAGGATGGATTCTTTAACAACGCTGCTGATGATAAATTCTATAACAACGCTGCTGATGATGATGAATTCTATTACAACGCTGCTGCTGATGATGATGATGAAGAATTCTATAACAACGCTGCTGATGGTGATGATGATGAATTCTATGACAAAGCTGCTGCTGATGATGATGAATAATTATATAACAACGTTGCTGATGATGAGGATGAATTCTATGACAAAGCTGCTGCTGATGAATTCTATAACACAGCTGCTGCTGATGATGAATTCTATAACAAAGCTGCTGATGATGAATTCTATAGCAAGGCTGCTGCTGATGATGATGATGAATAATTCTATAACAACGCTGCTGATGATGATGATGAATTCTATGACAAAGCTGCTGCTGATGATGAATTCTATAACAAAGCTGCTGCTGATGATTAATTCTATAACAAAGCTGCTGATGATGATGATGAATTATATAACAATGCTGCTGCTGATGATTAATTCTATAACAAAGCTGCTGATGATGATGAATTATATAACAAAGCTGCTGCTGATGATTAATTCTATAACAAAGCTGCTGCTGATGCTGCTGATGATGAATTATATAACAATGCTGCTGCTGATTAATTCTATAACAAAGCTGCTTATGATGATGATGAATTCTATAACAAAGCTGCTGCTGATGATTAATTTTATAACAAAGCTGCTGCTGATGATGATGATGAATTCTATAACAAAGCTGCTGCTGATGATGAATTCTATAACAAAGATGCTGCTGATGATGAATTCTATAACAAAGCTGCTGCTGAAGATGATGATAATGATTAATTCTATGACAGCACTGCCGCTGATGCCACTAAGACCCCCTCCACTGCTCTGCCTCCGCACCCCCCACCTCCAAATCGCAACAACTCAGCCCCCTGGCCGAAGCAGCGGATGAGCGCCCCCCCATGTACGTGGGCGACAGCGAGGGCGCCATTCCTCTGCGCTTCTCCGTCTCCGTGCTCGACCTGGACCCCAAACCCATGGACAAGATCCCACACCACCACCAGCAGCACTGCCTCATCCTGCGCAGCTACCTGATGGCTCACATGGGGCTGGCACCGGTGACCACACCACACATCGGCGTGGAAGAGGAGGAGGAAGAGGAGGAGGAGGAAGAGGAGGAGGAAGAGGAAGAAGAGCGGCGAACTCCGGATACCGAATCCGGCTCCCCGGCGTCGTGGTCGATGCCGGTGACGTCGCCGCAATCGCCGGCACCACTGGGCCGGCCGTCGCCGCTGGCGCTGCGCGCCACGCTGAGGTCGTAGGGGTAGGGGCGGCGTGGCGGTGAGCGTCCCGCCGGCAGCTCCGTACGGAGCCTACCGTGACCGTAGAGCTCCCCCGCGCCGCCTCTGTACTTCACACGAACACATACATACGCACGCGCACGCACGCACACACACACACATGCGCGCATACACGCACACACGGACACACACCGTGAAGTTGGTGGGGCAGACGAGGCAGTGGTGGCACCCAGGCACACGCACCCAGGCACATGCACGCACACAAGCACCCACCCGCCCACGTTCCTGCACGCACGCACCCACACGCGCTTAAACGGGTGACTGCCGTGCGTCGTAACAGGTGGTACAGGTCACGCTACGGACAGTACCCCGTACGGCAGAATCTGGGTGCGGTGTTTCTGTGCTCCTGCGACCGCTCCCTGCATTCACCGTCGCACCGTCGCCAAATTCAGCGCTGATCGGCGTGACGACTTTCACCCCCAGACCTGCGCGATCGCCCCACGCTCGTCTGCGGTACCAAACCCTCAGCGAAGGGGGTCCATTGTATTTCCTGGAGTGGATCGCCTGCTGAGCGTGCGCCCAGCCTGTCGGTCCTGCCATGCCTACTTTTTCCACTGCCAGGCCAGCGCAGCTCGCGAGGCGCCCCCCCCCTTCCCCCCTCCCTCCTGTGTGTGGGCCAGAGGTCGTTTGAAGAAGAAGATGTCTCAGAGGTAGCTCTATGATATCCGCTTCCACGGGGCCCATTCAGCGTGGACCAGAGGTCGTTTGAAAGAAGAGATCTCAGAGGTAGCTCTATGATATCCGCTTCCACGAGGCCGTTCTCAACGCTGATCATTCGACTC